TTTCTCTTATTACTTCCACAATATATAAGGGCGTGTTCGGTGGAGATTAAAATCGAATTAAAATTGAAAAACTAGCCATTGTTGACTTTTATTAGACGAGTGAGACCCAATAACGACCATATTTTCAATTTTAATAGGATTTTAATCGGAATCAAACAGGCTCTAAGTGTAATAAGTATTTAAAGATTGGTGGCAATTAAGGCAGGGGAAGGCTAGAGAAGTGGCAAGTGAAAAGAGACCCACCAGACTTATGTTTATTTATTTAAGAACTTAATTAGTATTGATTTAGTTAATTTTTATTTGATGCCAAGTTTCAAGTTAAGGATTAACTCACGTTATTTTTATGAGAATGTTCAAAATACGATTTTAGTGACACTCGAATCCTAGAGCTCGGGTCGTCACAAACAGTAATACAATCAAACACGAAAAGGGTTTGTACAAGCAAGAAATACTGATGGAGATCCTATTAGATATTATATGGAAGACTTTCCGAGTTAATACATTTTAGGAAAATCAATTAGGGAGTTCTTTTTCTAGTATTTCATTAGTTATTCCCTAATTAAACTAGATTAGTTTAAACCCTATATAAAGATGGTCTTTGCATTGTAATACTTAGACTTGATTATTGAATGAACAAATATTTTCGCCCTCTAATAATTCTCTCTGCTCCTGTCTTTCTTCTCCCCTTTCTATCTCCATCTTCTTCTCTTTCTCCATCTCTTCCCCTTTCTTTCTCCTTTGTCTTCTACAAGTCTCTTTCTGTTTGTTGTATCCTATTTCAAATATATTATGACAGAAAGGTTCATAGTTTTGATATAATAAGCCAGTCAAAATAGCATAATAAAATAATAAATGCTTTCTAGTTAACCCATTCAGCTGAATGTATTATTTCGTATGTATTGTCTTGCACCCTGCTATACATACGCAAGAAAAATAATTTAAGTGATGTAGAATGTAATTGGCAGTCCACTATTTTGGCATTCCTCTTTTTTTAAAAAAAATAAAAATAAATTTATTACTATTTTTTTTGTTGGTGAGGGAGTGACCAATGGCATAGGTCCACATTTTCAAACGCCTCCCACTAGAGTCAAACCAGATAGAAATTAACCACCAGGTCAATTGTTGGTGACAATTTATCAGATTAACATATGACTATATAATAGATACCAGAAACAACAAATACACGTGGCAAATAAAAGTAGAAATAAAATTCAGGCTGATATATTATACATTCTAGTGAACTGACTACGATTCATAATATGAAAAACTGTATGGAGAATGGCATATTAATTCAATCCATTTCAAAATGATTTGAACAATGTGAAGAAATATCACATAATGGAAAATGAGAATGATATCAAGAAAACACATACAGTTAATAAATTAAAAAAATATGGATGCTTTGCTCAAGAACATACCAAGATGACAGTTCAATGATGAAGTTAACAAATTCGATTCAGAATGATTCATTATTATTTTGGCTTCATTCAAGCAAGCAGGTCCATATCTTGAAACTCATTACAAAGAACCAGAGGATCCAGTTGTTTAACAAATGAAAAAGCTTATAACACATAGGGATCAGTCGCCATGGTAGCCTTGTTAATCAAATTCCATAGTAAGAGCATGTTTGGCTGAGCTAAAAGGTAAAGGTAAAAAATTACCTTTGCTTCCACATATGTTTGGATATATTACTTTTCTCTTACTTTTAAGTAAATAAGTTGCTTGTATTCAAAGGCACTCTTACCATACCGTCAAAATATGTAACTTTCTTCTTCCCAACTTTCACTAATAAAAAATATGTACATGTTCTTGCAATTACAGATCAAACAGCAAACTTTTCTAAAGTGTGAATAAGGATTAATTTGACACATAAAAAATGCAAAAAGATAAGAATTGCATACCTGGCTTGAAGAATATTGACAATCCAAAATCAATTGTCTTGAGGAGTGATTCCTCCTCCTGATCAACAAAAAGGAAATTTTCAGGCTTAAGGTCACGATGCATGACGCCCAAAGAATGACAAGCTTCTACAACTCCAACTATAGTCCTAGTAAGCTCAGCTGCCTTCCTTTCAGTATAATGTCCTCGCTGAATGATTCTATCGAAAAGCTCGCCTCCTGCACATAACTCCATAACAACATGAATGGCAACAGCATCTTCATATGCCCCTTTAATAGATATAACATTAGGATGCCCGGCTAGATGGTGCATTATCTGAATTTCCCTTCTAACATCCTCAACATCATCATCAGTCAATAACTTCCTCTTGGCGATAGATTTGCAAGCATATTCTTTGCCGGTCACTTTTTCCACGCAAAGGAATGTTGTTCCAAACTGCCCTTGTCCTAATTTCTTCCCCAGTCTAAAAAACTCCTTCAAATTTCCAGTTTTCCTTTGCAAAACAGAATCAGCCCTGAGCCCTGCACTGTTACTCCTCTTCATACCAGGAGGCTTTCTAGGTTTAACCAGCTCTTCTTGTTTTGTTTCCGGCTTTGGAATTGTCACTTGTTCCGGTGGTGTGTTTTGGACTGGCATAGGTGACTCTGGTTCTCCACCAGACGCCAGTGTCTCGTTTTTAGCACTCTTTCCATCTACGGAAGGATCATTATTATCTGGCATTCGGGATCGCCATATGGCAGCTGAAACTGATTGAAATATTCCATTTTTTGATATGCTTGGTCCAACACAAGTGTTACCCATCTAGTCCCAAACTCAATCAATTCCCCCACAACCACTTAAGTTCAAGAATTAAGAATTAACTCTATCACTAAATCTTATGCTTTATGAGTAACGAAGATCTAATCCTATGATCATTTCCAAAAGCCCATCACCTTCAAAAGTCAAAATTCTTCTTTTCCACCTCAAATCGCCAAGAATAAATTCAACCTTGTAATTAACCCAGAAAACCAACTACAACAAACATCAATAGTTCTAAGTGATTTTCATCGACTTTGAAATCAACTAACCATATTAGAGAACAAATACTTCAACTTTCAACTACAACTCACATGAGCAATCAAGAAAGCAGAAAAAAAGAATGAAAGAATATCAAAGTTAAAGAAGTCAAAGGCGAAAAGTATGCCTAGATTGAACATTGAACTGGGAAAATTAATAGTATGGTAAACAGAAAGGGTCAAAGAATATGAAGAGGCTGCTATACACTGCAAAGAAGAAAAAGTTGAGATCTTGATGAGAACTGGTCGCATTCCTGAATTGGTCCCTATTAATATATTAATTTAGTACGAAATTAATTGAGCAAATTGAATAATTATATGCATTTTCATGCGTAATCATCTGTATCGATAGGAAGTTGCTGTCTGCTGTAAAATTTAGACACATTTGCATATAAAACGCGTTTTTTTCGGATATTTCCACCTTTGAGTTTCTTGGTTGGACAATTTATACGTTGGCATATTTAAATTATTTTATCAAAGAATGTCTATTTGAAAATAAGTTATGAAAAAATGGTTTAGTAAAATTTAAATTACTGATTAAATATATTTTTTTTATTTTTTAGGATTGGCAATTTACTCGTCACTTTTTATTGACTTATTCTAAAAAATTCATTGTTTATAAAGCAACGCCAAATAAATCTACTCCATATCAAATTATTGTTTTGATATCCATGCAACTGTTGTGGGCATAATCTTAATTCGGTAAATTCTTGTTTTGCATTATTCAAGTTTTCCGACGTGAATTTCAAATTATTAATGAAATCTACTCGATAGATTTTTCTTATTTTTACTTTCTTTCATTTGTTCTCGTACTATTTGTTATTGTAATTCTTCTTTGACTCAAAATAAATAAATAATAAATAACATTTATTTCCACCGTCTTGTCATAAATTGAACTTCTAATAGTCATTAAATTTAAGATACTTCTTCAACGAGCAACCTGGAATTCCTACCGTGTGCCTGCCTTCTTAAATTTCTACCTACCATGCCAATGTTTGCTTAATAATAACCCCAAGCCACGAGTATTTTACAACAACAAAAGTCCTTGCATTGCAACAACATAATTTACTTAAAACTACCAACATGATTTACTTAAAAGTTAAAATTGCAGAAATTAGTTGTTCTTATCGAATATTTTGGTTCAAATCTATTAATGACTTCAGTATGCTAGAGTCGCGCCGCGCGCATTGATTATATTGGTTCAAATTCACCTTATAGTTGTCCATATGTTGCAAATTGAAACAAATTGTTTTACGATAATAACAAATATTATTTTTGTTAAATCGTCAAAAATATAAAGCAACTTAGTTGACTTGATGGATATTTTCAATATGTTATTAAAACAGCCAAGACAAAAATTTATGACTTAGGTCAGGACAGTACTACTTCACGAGCAATAATTGTACAAGGAGCTGTAATATAATACATGGACTCTCATCGATTTTGAACAAGCAAAAAGGCCAGCCTACACGACTGATTTCATAAATTATAGGACAGATTAGGTGCATGCAGCAATTGCACAAGGTCCTAATCCAGGACAGCATGTTTAGTCATGGCTAGATAATATTACAAAAAGAAAAACAAGCCAGGTATTGTCCATTGGATTGTCTAGTATCGAGTATCAAATATATCCCGAGTGGTTTGTGGCATCATGTCATTATAAGATGGCCACGTGGATTAAGTTATAATCACGAGCTCCAACAACAAGGGAAATAAAAAAAAACATCGTATTCATTTCAGCACCAAGGACATGCTATGAAAGAATAAGCGCGCATACATTTCAGCTCTTTTTTCCTTCAGAGGTCAGAAGTATGGTAAATTGGTCACTGTGGCAGTTTATTCAACGCATACCATTAATATCAATGGAGGAAATGATGAACAATAACCTGTGGTCTCTAAAATAAACCATACTATCTATATATAATACACGGTGACTCAATTGCTTACTGCCTTGCACTTGTAATAATACATTAAATTAACTAACGAAACAATTAAGAAAACACATGGAGCGGAAAAACCAACTTGAATAAGCTTCAGTCTGAACTTTTACATTTCTATGTCTTCCAGGTCAGGAAGAGGAAAACGAAGAATTGCAGCAATACCAGTCAACTGAGCCAGTTCTGTTCTTCCACGTAAAAATTATTCCATAAGCACAAATAAATATGGATGCACAAAGAGTAATAGAATCATAAAAGAAAAGAAACAAAAAATGAAAATGTGTGCATGATTTTGTGAAACCATAATGAATGCAACTCCTCAACAGACATACTCAGATTCATAAACTGCCATAAGTTGCGAGAGCCTAAGAAACAACCTCTAATACAAGTCAGCCATAAAGCTTTTTAAGTTGTGGAGATGGAAAGAGTAAGAAAATACTCACGTTCTCCTGAAACATGCATGGATGAGAAGATGTGAGCAGTGCCTCCTGAATTCTTCACTGAATCCACCAAGTTGACGTACTTTTTCCTTGTTGCTATATCTGAACTCCTGATAAACAAAAAGGAAGTTTGATTTCAACATTGCTCTTGAATGTGCCAAAAAAATGTTCTGTTAACACCCAATTTTTCGTGCCATAACTTCTAAACACATGCACGGTACACATGAGAAAATAGAACTCTGAACTTCAGCATGACATCAGATATGTAAACCAACTTGATGAATAATGATTTAAGAAAATGAAAAATGGTACAGCCAACACAATAAACTAGGAAATTTTTGGTAAGGTAGATTAGAAACTACTGGACAATATTAAGGAATAAAAATAAGCTAAATTATCTAATACTATTTACAAAACATGCACTAAGCCTGCTTACTTGAAAAGCTCATCAGTAATGAGAAGTGTCTGGATGGCCATCCGCTCATGGGCAACTTCAACGTGCTTTGGTCCATAGCATGCACGATCAGGATCCTGTACAATTACATCATCTTGGAAAAATCAAACCAAAGTAACTTCAATAATGAACTGGTTCACCGTTCGCCTACATGTTCATGGGCATGAATGCAAACTTAAAATATTTCTTGATGTCAAATGGGTATGTCAATTCATCGACAATCCATTTTAAAATCCAAGAAATATATCCATGAATATTCATCTGTATGAGTTGGGAATAAAACAAAATAACACACAAGTATTTTAGTGAGATACATCAAAATAGACTATATAATATGAATTATAGGAGAGAATTAGGTTAAATTTTGTATTAATAGAGCAGCTCCTTCGTAATTTTTACTACAATGAAATGAAATTCAGAAATTTCCACATGGTAACAGAGCAGGTTTCCTGCTAATTTGTTTTCTGGCTTAAATTGCCGGAATTTAGGTCTTCTTGCTGGCTGATTATGCCGGAATTCTGTTCTTTGTGTTCTTAATTGCTTAAAAGAAGTTTCAAGACTCCACGGTCTTACATTTTCAGAGCAGTCAGCCCATTTTCTGAGCAATTCACCCTTTTTCACGCCAGTTCAGCAGTTTTTCATCTGGTTCAGCCTATTTTCAGCCCAGTTAAAATGTCTTTAATGCTGGTTTGATTTTTCTCAATCAGTTTCATTTGTTTTTGGCAGATTTATACCAGTTCAATGCTGCTTTCTTATTTTTTCTAGCCATTTTACATCGGTTCAGATCATTCCTTGCCTCTTTCATTCTTGTTCCGAATAATTTCAACGCAGTTGAGTTCTCATTTGTCATCTTATTTATCAATCATCTTCTAACCCAATTGTGCTTCCTCTTTTATCAGTTTCTCCAAGTCAATTGTCCATTTGCTCAACTTGTTTGAATGTCACTAGCATTTTGAGTCTTCGGTCATCGATTCCGGAGCCCAGAAATCACATGACTAGCCATTCGAATTTGTTTATTTCCTACACTCCATATTCCGGCAGACAGAAAGTCAAAGTTACAAATGGTTCGTTGTCATCTATTCCAAGACAATGGTATATTCCTATTTCAAAATCTCTTTCATTAGACTCCACTCTGCATGTTCTACAAATTGTAATGTAATCTTTCAACTAGTAAAATCATCAAAAGCCTTAATTGTGTCCCCATTTCCTAATTACTGTCAATTTCAGGACTTGAACACAGGGAAGGAGATTGATGGGCTTCATTAACTTGAGGGTGAACCTATTGGTTTAGGTAATCTATCTTATACACACTTAGTTATTCTCAGTCAAACTTAAAATACAAAAATTCAACTTTGGCATAAAATATTAGGTCACCCAAACTCACCTTTTTTAAAAAGAGTGTTCCCTACTCTATTAAAGAATAAGAATAACCGTGATTTTCAATGTAAAGTACGTTTAACTATCCAAACATCATCGGGCTCATTTTCAATACAAAGATATAAGAAGTGATAACCTTTTTCCTTGATACGTAGTGATATTTGCGGGCCTTCAAGTGTCCACAACATATCTGATGGTAGGTGGTTCATTATCACTCTTGTGTGAGTTTGGTCCATTAGCTCATAAAAAAATTTGAAGCAGAAAAAGCTATTCAAAATTTCCACCATGTAATTAAGACTCAATTTAAAACCAATCTTCAAATTTTTCGAAAATATAATGGGAGAGAGTATTATTCCTTGATTCTAGGTTCATATCTAAGCGATCATGGGATTGTACACCATATCTCTTGTATAGATACACTTAAAACAAAATGGTAGCTAAGAGGAAAAATAGGCATCTTCTTGAAGTGGCTAGATCTCTAATGTTTACCATGGCAGTTCCTAAACATTTTTAGAGGGAAGCTATTCTTATTGCTACCTACCTTATCAATATGATGCCATCGGGGGTCTTGGATTTCAATACACACTTAGACACTCTCAAAGACATACACACCATCACAAATTATTTCTTTCCGCCAAAAAACACACGAGGAATCAAAATCAAACATTTCATTCTAGAGGTCCATTTCCTCAACCAAACACCCCCTAAGTTTAGTATATATATAGATATTGTGATTTGGCACAAATGAAGAAAATAAAACGAAATTATAGATTAAGGGTGGAACTGACATTTGAAAGCATGGTAAAGAAATCCTCAAGTGCTCGAACCTGCATTGAGATAAAAAAAAAAAAAAATCTTTAAAGGTCCATACAAATAGAGAACACTAGAACCTATACAATAAAAAATAAGAAATCAAAGATAAAATATACAGAGCCAACACAAAAAGTGAATCGGGAGCATTACTACCTCTTGTGCAGCTTTAGTATCTTTTATCATATTCATAACATTTGAAGCTTCCAAAACCTCTCTCAAGCTATGCCTGTGTACCAAGTGTTAAATGGTCAAATTATAATAATGGTTTGCTTCTAGCAACTTTGACCTAGGAGGATGAGACAACGAACATTGCAACTGAAGAGAGAAAATAGACTTAACACAAAACAAGGAAAACAGAAAAAGAATCAATTCGAGGATTTCTAAACATGTAAAAGCAATGAATAAATAATAACCACCTGAATTGTAGAGGAAATGCTAAACGTGCAAAATAGAAGAGTTTGCTAAACATAAAACAATAATGACTAGTTTTCGAGGACAAAAAAATCTATGCCCCTATTTGTTGTAGATTTTAATCAGACTAAAATCTCAACTCAAAATCAACAATTACTTTTAATCATACATTTCATGGACCACAACTTTTCGACCACATATTTCATCAAAATCTACTAAAAATCCAATTTTAATCTACAACAAACAGGAGCCATACGTACAAACAGATACTTTTGAAATGGCATGTGAACAAGGAAAAAAAGAAAAGACAAAAATTTATTGGTCTTAAGCTATCTTGTTTAATACTCAAGTCATAATCGTGTAAAATGTACTCTCTTTAAGAGGAAAAACAAATAACTAGTTCGCAAAAATCTTGTTGATTTTTGAAAGTGAGAAAATTGGTTAACTACAAGTATAGTGAGTAGTGCGTAAAGGCATGCAACGCTTTTTCCAAATCCCATGCACTGATGAATGCCAATTCACTTTGTAACTTTGTTGTTTGCCTAAAGCACACATACCCCAGTATCCTTGTGCATAAAAATCAACATGTGCAAAATTGACTTCGCAGAAGAAGAGTAAGACAGTCACAAATGCATCCTCAATGCAAGTACGTATGCTCAAACTTCCAAGTTTCTTTGGATGACTGCGAAGTTATTTTGGTAAAACATCTTTATGTGAATTTGTCTCCTTGTTTCTCATATTGTAAATCATGTCTCCATAACACCAACAGAAAAATTGACACAACACGTAACTTCATTATGATTGAGTTGATGCACAGGTTAAGGGATTCAAGATGCACGGATTATGATGATTAAGAAGTAAAATTCAGCTTTTAGCCCCTTTTGTCATTTCATCATTTTTCTGTTTTTTTCTTTTTCCCTTGGGAGAAGGAGAAAAAGAAGTGATGGATACTTATATACGTTGGAGAAGTAGACCACACCTTAAGAAGGGAAAAGAGGTGTTAAATTTCTCTGCTGCAACTGTCAGCGGCACATAATTGCAATAAGAAGGTGGATCCAGACCATGCTTAGTTTAGTTAGCCTCAAATGAGAAAATCATTAAAAAGTTACTGGCCACATGAGAATGAATCATGCTGACATAGACACTAAGAATGAAAAATTTATAGAAGATTGTCCCTATTCTTAGATTCTCAAGTCCTTTAATAAAAATATATCGAGTCATCCACGTGCATTACAATCCATTATTCAAACAATTGCATCAGACACAACCCCAAACTGTTATAAGAAGTCAACAATACAACAGCAACAGAAGATGGAGAGAGTGAAGAGACCAATATCATACTTGTATCCAGAGGTGGTATGCACAAGAATTATGCGCGACTTGTTCTCAATGATAGATCTCAATTGTTTCCTTTCTGCCTCCAACATTAAGTGCCGGTGAAATTGATCCTGAACATAAATGAAAATAATTTCCAAATCCATTATTACACCAGGTAACTTAATTATTACTTCAGCTAAATACTGAAGAACTCGAATGATGACTTCGAAATAACAAAACATACAATAAGCGTATAAGCTAAGCTTGCTGATTCCAAATGACAGACCTTAGTGAACCCTGGACTTGCAATGACAGCACAACGAACCACCTTGAAATCAATGTGTTTAAGGAAGGCCTACAAGGGATTGAACATAAGTTGATAATCATTTATAAATTCTGTATTTATCTGGAAAAAAGAAACAAAAAGCAAACACAAACAGCTTAGGCTGAGATAACCTGTAAGACATTATCAAAAAACTTGTTCAAGGCCTGTCAAGAAACCAATTCCAATGAGTGTTCCATTTAGAGACTGCTGCCTTAATTAAACAAGCAATGTAAAGAACAACACCATTCAGCCACTAATAAACATACTTTATCATAGCCTGCTATACCAGGTCCGTGCTTGCGAGGTATTGAAGTCTCTATGCGAGAACGAGTGGTTGTCACACTGTTGACACATTAACCACCATTTAAATGTTAAATAGTGAAGCTAACATAATGTACAATAAACAAACTCTAATAACATTTCCATGTAGATGTGGAGGATCAATCTAGATCACCAAAATGTTATTTGTCACATTAAAGTTCATCTCTAGGCCTACTTCGAGTTTTAAATTATGATATTAATCTTTTTGCGACCAGCTATAAGCACCATTTATGAACTTCAATGGACCATCTTACGCGAAAACTTCTGAATTCACAGAGAACATAAAACTGAAAGGTAAAATTTCCTTCCAAATTTTACTTAAAATAACCAAATAACTAAAATTATTAATCAGGTTCTCATACACAATAAAAAGTTAAAAAACTCCTTAGAGGGCATGGTGTTAAAGACCCTAACCAAAGCAACAAACACCTAATCACTTGCAATCACAAGTCCACATAACCAAAATTCAAATAGTAAATCTTCGTGAACCAGATGCTCACGTGTACTCTAGTTTTAACATGGATGTATCCACCTCTCTCACTGTTGACAACGTGTGTTTGGTTTATGATGGAATGTCCAGTTCAACTTATACGTAAAATAACCAAATTTATAGGACAAATTTTGGAATAAAAAAGGACCAGAAAGCAGATCACACCGCAAACTTTCTATGTTCTTAGTATAAGAAATCTTTGTCAGATCTATTTCCAGTTGATCATCCAGAATCCAGCTAAAGAGGAAGAAAAATTACAGAGAAAAGTTTAACTTGGAAACTGACTGTGAACCATCTACAGAACATTTCAAATCATAAATAGGGCATACTATTGTGATTAATCAATCAAAAGTAAATCATAATCATATATTCACAATGTGCTGCAGTACCTTTTTCCAACAAGTAAAATATGAGCTAGACCTTCTTGCATCAGTACAACAGCCAGATCAGCGCTCGCTGTAGGATCTGTGGTCATTTGATTGAAATGCTATAATTAACAAACTTGTAGTCAAAACTGGCTTATGGAAATGCGTGAATGCATAATCAGTCTACCTAGGATGATGTAAAGAAAGAATTTCCCGGATAACTACACAAGTTGTAACTGTCAGTCCAAAACCATCGATAGGCCCCACAGGATCTTGGCAGAGTATTGCCAGGGAAACAGATGAGATGAATTAAGACTGATATCATTTCTTTATTTCTTTTTCTTCTCTTTTTTCCTTGTGTAAAAAAGAGTAGTGTCACATGGGAGAAAGGTTGTAGTAGACACACTTAAATTTTAGAAAAACAGTGTGAACCTATCATGGATAATGGATAGCACAGTATTAACATTTATTATGGGTATCCAAAGTACGCTGTGATTATTGGTTGCCTACATGTCTCACACTATATTTTTCCAAAACTCTTTCACGCTGTTTTTAGACTGCTTATCACCATAAAGTATATTCTTCTGCTACCTCTCTTAAAAGGGCACAGCAAGAAGTTTCGGAAAGCCGCACCTAGTGATAGGAAATGGCAGGGATTAACTTAGATAATCCATTGGATTAGCAAAGCTGAATTTGTGCAATCTAAAACTGAGTTTAAGCCCAAAGTTTCAACAGCATAACTGGAGTGGAGAACTTGATCCTCTATCTTCTCATCAGAAGCCAAACACAGTACTGGTCAACCCACATTAGTAAGTGGTAACCAAGTGTGGCAACCTCATATATATTACAATCCGCTTCCTCCCTTTAGTCTAGTTTCACTCTTCAATGTGGGACTAAAGATAATTAATAGTTTTTGAGTTAAATTTTTCTTCCCTCCTTTATTCTTATTGTTAGTTAGATGTGGGATTATAGTTAATGAATAGCAGATGTGAGATTATAGATAATGAATAGCATATGTCATATTTCCCTTCCACTATACTTCTACTATCCATTAGATGTATAGCTTATTCAAGCCTCTCCATAAGATGTTCAGCGTGCATCAAGAAAATACTTTGCTATCGAGACTATTGAACCCCTTCTGTCTTCATCTAAAATCTTAAAGGGTTAGAGCAACTGTGCATAATTTAATTTTTCCTTTAACACGCCCCCACATTTGTTGCTGGGTTTCATTTTTTCCCAAGAGCTTATTTGCATAATTTCATTAAATGGATAACAACAAGACTCATATTCAGGATCTTTGCTTGATCCGATTTTAAGTTATAAAATAAAATATTGAAAGAAAATTACAAAATCAATTATTAAGGAAATAATCCCACAAAATTGGGAAGGTATCATGGACATAGCTTGAACATTTCCTCAAACTCGATGGTGTTGTTGAAATTAATTTGAGTTTCGGAAATTAAACTGATTAAAGCGAAAGGGAAATATCATGGACATAGCTTTAACATCTCCTCAAACCCTATGGTATTGTAGAAACCAATTTGAGTTTGGAAATTAAAATCTATTAAAGCAAACTGTCCCTTCCAATGTTCAAAAGATGCTCCAGAATTGTAATGTTTGCCAACTAGTCCAACCAAAAACCCAAAAGCTGGTGCGAAAGAAAATCATTATCCAGGGGAAACAACAAAGACAATCGAACATATCATAGAATCGTAGAAGGGAAAAGGGAAAATAAAAGAACACAAAAGGATGGAGAAAGAGGAGAGAGAGGTAACAATAAGGGAGTTGAACAGGCAAGAGAGAAGCACAAAGTGGAGAGGACAAATTGCATTTTTATTCAGTAATCAAATCTAACTATTAAAATTCATAAACCCTCTTCAAATATGATTTCAACTAGTCTATAGGAAAGAAAATAAGGAAATAAACTAAATGAAAACCCTAACTTGAGTCAAAATAGAAAATTATAATAAACTAGAATAGTAGTAGTCTAAAGTTAGCAAGTCTTCCATATCATATCTATTACAATCCCCATCAGGGACACATCCTACAATTAAAATGAACAAGGTCAAAACTAGATCATTGTGCAGATTATCACATCTATACCTGCCCAGGATAGAGCACTATGAATGTCCATGAACTGTACCAGCACTACACTCGTTGATGAAGAAAAAGGCTAGCCTAACAAGAATCCAGGCGCCAGAGGAGGATAAGACCAAATACGTAATGGAAATTAACGTGGTGGAAATCAAGACGGGATTTTCTTCCAAACAGTTCAACAAATAAACAACGAACCAAGTAAAATTTAATAACAAAAATTTTAGTCCACAAAAGCCCAACCAACAGACTTGCCAACCTTGACAATTTAAATTGGTTAAGAAAGTTTTGTTAAAGATACGAAAAAAGGTACTGGGACAAGGATTAATTGATGCGTTTGGCTTAATTTGGGAAGCAGCATTGGAATCATAGATCGATTTCCTATATTGGCTGCACTTTGCATCAATTTTGAGTGGCTTTATGAGGCTATTCAATTATGTGTTGTATTTGGGATCTTTGGTCTTTACCTTCACCTTGGAAATAATTAGCGAAGGCACTCCAAGCAAATAAGAGCCTAAGAAATCACTGGATTATGCCCGAACTAAATCCCAGCAAGAGTTGTACGCCACCAGGAACAAAGTTAACACAAAGCAAACCAATACTTAACAGGGGTAAAGATGAGTAGTGGAAAATTGAATAGGAACAAAAAGAAATAAAGGAGGCCAGACGAGATGAAAGAAGATGAACGAAATGGTCGGACGAGTGTCACAAGGCCACCTTTTGGAGATTAGAGACGAAGATTGTTTAACTCAAGCCAAAAGGCTCTAATACCATATTGAACCATGTCATCTAAAAGATCATTTAAATTTTGTCTTCAAGAAAAATGTTTGTGCACGTATATGATTTCCCTAAGTTGTGCTTCTTTATTTATGAGGTCAAATCTCGTACTTGGTTTGTTCCTTGATGTTCTAGATACCATCTTTAAAGAGAGAAGTATAAGTGCAACATGTAAGGTCATCATCCGTGAACTCAGTCAAATGTAAAATACATGACACAAGAACTTAAATGAAATACGACATATTTCATTGTGTTTGGATAAAAGTATAAGTCGCTAAAATTATAATGCGAGTTAGTAGTAGTTGTAGATCCTACGAATGTGCCGTTAAAATTTATGCTAGATTTTGCGAAGTAAATTATAAGTTACTTTTAATGTTATCAAAACAAAGGCTTTAAGTGAAGATAGATATAGATGCCCGGAGATACTATGGGCCATGTCAAATTGAAGAAATAAATATCCAAAGCCCTTGCATTAGCTTGTGCTCCAGATCCATAACTTGTAAGGTTATTAAAACAGAACATAAATCATTAACCGCCCATGTAAAACTCAGTTCCTCTAATATTCTTTAGATGTAAAAGTGGAGAAAATAGGGAGAGAATATTACTTGCTTTATATTTACTACTAAGCCCTTCTTATCTTAATTTCCAAACTTAGGAGAAGTTTTAAGTCATCTCTAATTTTGGACACAGTAAGAATTATTTTTAAAAAGGAGTTTTTACAGGGAAAAAGAAGATTATTAAAACAAAAGAGTTTATTTTAGGAGATTCATTAGAAAAGAAAATATTTTTTTATGAGATAGCAAGAATAAGTAATAGCTTTTACACTTGTGCCTAAAGCTGAAGATGAAAACTACCTTTACCAAAAGAGAAAAACCGAAGAAGATGAGAATGCCGTAAATATGGAGTTAAAGGATAGCTGCATACCGGATGCTTGACGGAGCACCTCCAAGGCCAGTGAGTCCCAAAACTCCTAGTAAACATCACAGACAACTCAAATAAGAAGCCTAATTGGTCAATCAACTCCATTTGATCTAGAGTGATAAGATGTAAATAAACAGCATTGGTCATAAAGCTGCCATCAACATGGTAATATGGAAAACATAATTGATTAACATACACAATAAGTACAATAAATAATTGACTCCTATATGTACTACGCATTAACAGCCGTTTAGAATGAGAAGAAAATAAGTTTTGCACAATCTTCACATTGGGAAATGCAAATGCCAGACGACAAAATAAAAATTCATGGAGGAAGAATATTATGGATTTGTCATCTATCCAGTATCAAAGATCTAAGCTCCTACCTTCCATGAGTCACTTTAGACTATGTTCCTCCTTTTTAGCTTATAAACAGCCTAAAACGCCTCAAAATGACTTTCAACAAGCATCCCATCCCTCAATAGGAAGACCTAAATAATCACCTCACTCCCATCTGAAAACACTTCCGCAAACAAGATCAATTTCTCATTCCCACAGCCAGAAAAAACCAAAGGAGGGGGCATCAACAATAGTTCCATAAATGTATCTTATATGGACCTAGTTTGCTAATCTCAACAAGAAAAATGGTGAAATTATAAATTCAGACAAGGAAAAGGAGAAAAATGGTAAAAATGAAAGAATGCATTCTTCAAAAACAATACAGACACCATGGCTTACATTCTAGGTAAATTTATTTGTTCTACATGCTATATTTTTATATTTTGAAAAGTTGAAGGATTAAAGCGAAATAGGTATTAAATTTTATTTTATTTTGACTAAATAACTAGATATTGATAGAGTGAGATTTAGTATATCAATATTGGACTTGTTTGATAGATCATATTAAATCATATATTTTAGGATCGAGAAAAAGTTATTTAAATAAGTTCAAGATAAGTTAAGAGTCGATCAAAGAAAATCATGATTAAATATATTTAAGGGGAAATTTCCAACTTGTTTAGCAGGACCGAAATTTTTATATTACTGGAATTAGGAATTAGTTCAACCTAGGTCAGGTGAGTATTATGCAATTGATAGGTATTTAATTAATTGGGTTTTTCAATACAATCAGAACTAGTGTAGTACTAATCTAGATAGTCTTAGATAATTAATAGAATTTTGATTAAATCTTAATCCTAACTACCCACCCAAGGCAATTGTAAAATATGGATTCCTTTTTCCAAGACTATATTTCATCTACTAAAAGTGTGTTTGAGCCACATTATTTTGGAAGAATGTATTTTGAAAAAGTAAATTGATTGAGAATCTGTGGTTGAAAAAGAAGGAAAAGTTATTGATGTGAAGGAATATATTATTTTATTGAAGAATGTGTGGTTGAAATTAGTAAAAGAATGAGAATCAAAATTTTAATATGACTCAAACAGGGGCTAAATTTGTGTTGGAATACTATAAGCCCTATTTGTAAGTTATCCTAATACTAGTTTCCAATACAAGTACACGTATCTTATTTTGGATGATTATGATTTGTTATAATCCAAATATTGAAATTCAATTCTTATCCAAACTGGTGGTACATTTGCTATACTTCTAATTTCACCAAATCTCAATTTGTGAATACTGTTGGCCATATAAATACCCCCATGGGGTCAAGAAAAGATTCACCACGTGATATACATACATACACAGCACGGGGTCGAGAGAGAGAATAGTTTCGAAAAGCCATTCACGATTTTATTGACGCAGTTGAGAAAGTTAGAAACGATATTGGAATTCTTTCAAAAATTCATTTCATCTATCAGGATAATATACATAACGTGCAAGTGGTTTGTTTCCCTATACTTTTATGTATTCAATTAAATATGTATAAATTGTCAATAGACCTTTGAGTTCGATCTAATGAAATGTGAACTCTTTTTGGTTTTTTATAACGAAATGTGAACTCCTTCGAGAATTCAAAATGACTAATGATGGGTATCTCACTTGGTCACAGATATACTCCATAAGAGAAAAGTGGTATGAAGTGTAGATTTTATTTTTCTTATATAATTGTATATGAAAACTACACGTATGTTACAAAGTATTTTTCTCCCTTACAGTAATTTACAGAGTAGTTAGAATCGATTGAAACTGTGGTAAGATGGTGATGCGAGCTGCCAGAGGATTTCAAGAAATAACAAACATTAAGTTTTTTTATCTTCTAATTTATTAGTTAGTTTTATTTGTTCAAATACACGTTTATTAATTAGGTAAGTGGTTGTGTTTATTTTTTTTAGAAACACAAATTCCATGTTTCAATTAATATTTATTGTTGAAAATAAAGGAATTACTTTTACTTGTATCGTTTCCGCTTTTAACGTGAAGATAATTGAATTTTTAGTAACACTCCGTTGTTTATGAAAATTGGAGTGTTACAGGATGCCTCATTAATGTTGGAATGCCAAAGATTTCCTTTTTCCTTTTCCTTCGACATTGCTGGGGGTTAGGATGAGGGACTCAAACATACTGCAACAGATAAGAATGAGGAGGGCTTGATAAAATGGATATCATATGATAAGTCTAAAGGGACTAATATTTTTAGACACGGACCATGCTCTTTATATTAACGCCATAGAATGCAAAATGACCATAAGTGCATGCCAAATATTCTAACAAACAACTGAACATAATTTATAAAAGAGAATGACTTGAGATTTGATAGAACTAAGAGCAAAAAGTACCTTCCTCAACACAAAAGGTCGGTGTAGCTCAATTTCTAGGGTGTGAAATGCCCCTATCTGCAGCATAAAACTATAGTTTTTACTGCTGGAGCAGAGAAATGAGCTGGTTAAAAAGAACAAACCGAAATGCCACGCACCTTCACATGTTCATTTTCCAAAATATTCTTCCCACGTATACGTAAGACAGATCCTTCTTTGTCATACTCTACAGCCTAAGAATAATTTCAAGAAAGTCAGTGTCACAAAACCTCAGTCTTGTACAGTAGCTTAATGCAAACTTCTAGATATGTCAAAGATGTACAACTCTAGCCTCACCTCCAGCTGCATGGATTTATAACATTTAAAACAAACAAAACATTTTTGTCTAATTGTTTTACAGATTTTGATTTAATAAATAAGTAAACATAACCAGTAGATGAGATCTGAAGTTTGGATTGGTCAATATGTTTCAATTGATGGATCTATTAGGGAAAATGTTGAATACAGTCTACCTTAAAGCATGGAACCACGAATGAGATGATGAAACTGCAGCATAATAACATTATAAATTGGAGAAAATACTAGATTTTTTGGTTGATTGTCACCGAGCTATGAGTCATAGCATATGTAAAGAGATCCCGTGACTCGAATCCTTTTCATATTTCTTGAATCCTCAATTCTCCCAACTCCCGACTAGTGGTTAAATAAGCCCCTATTTGGCCCCAGTTTCCCCTAAACTCATTTTCAACCACACATTCTCATAATAAAATAATTTTGCATGTGGACCAATAACTTTTCCTACTTTTTAACCCCATATTCTCCAAAAAAAAAACATTTTTTTTCAAATCTATTCTCAAAAAGTCTCTAACAAATGGGGGCTAAGATAGAATATAGGAAGACTGGTACACTGAAGATATTAACATGCCAAAAACTATTGATTGATGAATATCTCCCAAAAGAGAAGTCGAGGGTTCTTTTATTCTGTTCGGGGAGGAGCCTGTTTACTAGTTTCTTTTACTCTTTGCATAATTACATCGCAGCAGCGGCAGACCAATTACGATCTGCAAATGAGAACGAGATACTACATAATATTAAATGCCTTGATTTTGCCAACACTAGGCTAAAAATAACCACAGAATTTCTTGAAAATATCTGACCTCTACTTTGATTTCCAATTTCAGTTTCACTCTTTCTGCATCTCTTCCTCCGGAAGCAGCTTCTCTTAAAACTTTCCTACAATGAATTATGAAGACAATATATTATATATTCAGGTCCCACAATTAGATGCTCCCTTGACAAGAACAAGTTGAAGTTTTGCAAGAAATTCCCCATATGCAATACAACAATCAGTGCTACTAGGCCCTTCTTGTCCAATTTCAAAAAGTTTTCAGTAAAACACAAAAAAAGAGTAAAATTCATGGAAGAAACCAATGCATACAACGATTAGAAGGAAAAATCTGAAATTGAAAGTAAAAGGTACCTGACGGTGACAGCTAAGACGGTATCACCCTCGGCAATCAGATTATAAGCCATCCACAAATCATCTGCTTCTTCTGGGACCATCTGCGGCAAAACCCAGACACCAAAACATAAAAGAAGAAAAGAAATTATTGCTATTTCAACCAAAAAAAAATATTAATTGGAAATTGAAGTTCTCTTGAAGGAACTGAAGGGGAAAAATCACTTTTACACTGCCCGGGCCATCGTGTGCGAGATTTCGACGAACGATCTTCATCGTTTTTTCCGTCCCTTCCTGCGGTGAATGTAGATACTCTTATTTTATAATTATAAAGTTTCTGTCCTCAATCTGGATACGGTGTAAAACCAAGCCGCCCTCTTTCTAAAACTTTTTTGGGGCTCACGTGTGAGCTTGAAAAAATTGTTTTTCACTTTTTTGTTAACTTTTTAACGTATGACTTCACAACTATGAGCATGTTTGATACAGATTCTTATTTTCTACAGTAAATCAATTCTCATTTTCAACCACACATTTTTCAATAAAATAATATTTTTCATCACATCAATACTTTTTTCTTCTTTTTCAACCACACATTTCCCATCATATCACTATTCAAAAATCAATTATTCCCCAAAAAATCGTTACCAAACACACTCTATAATTAATAGTTTCACTTTATCTGTAAGTTTATCTTTTTTAATTTCATTTTCTAGTTGTAATAGATTTATTCATAAATCTTATTTAAATTAGGATTAGTTTATTTCATTTTAAAATTTAGTTTACTTATTTTAGTTTCCTTTTATTAATAGGATTATGAATAATTTTGCCTATAAATATAGGAGTATTGTACACTTTTCAAGACTATCAATCATATATCAATACAAAGAAATATTATTCTAATATAATTCTGATTTTCAATTTTTATTATAAAAATTTCATAACGCTTCACCAAAATTGGTATCAGAGCAAGGAAAATACATCAATCTGATGGCCGACGATGGTCCCGGTGGCAGTCGAACCGTGATGACGAACAGAGACTCGACAAACTCGTACAACAAATCGAGAGGATCGATGAAACCCTTCATAACATCACGCATATGGTAACTGCGTTGAGTTTTGAAAAGAATCGCGAATCCATGGAGAAACAAGTTAACAAGAATTTGCAGACTTTAACTGCTATGAATGTTGGTTGTTTCAACAAGATTAAAATACGACAATAGGTGATTAGAGAGTTTCCGCAAGTCCCAGCTAAATTTGAACACGCACAAGTTATCAAGAATTTTACAAAAGTCTATCGAGAAAATATAAAAGAATCAAATTTGAAGTGCAACAAAATTTTTAAAACGTGATGCGTCTCAACAACAAAGTATGCAAAGTGATAATAAATCATAAAAGTATTCAGAACTTGGTGTCAAAAGTATTGGTGAAAACTTTAAATTTGAAAACTGAACATACTCATCTTGCTATCAAGTGTCACGGGGGCAAGAAACTCTAAATATTGAGGTATGTAAAATTTCACTTTCTCTTGGAAAGTACTACAAAGATGAAATTATATGTAACGTAGTAGAGATGGACAATTGTCATATATTTTGGGAACAATCATGGTACTATGATGTAGATGTCACTTACGTAGGTTGAGATAATAGATATGTATTTAGGTGGTACGATAAAAAGATTGTATTAGTGTCATGCGATGAACAATTTATGAATGACAAAGAGAAAAAGGCTTATAAGGCAGATGATAAGGCTTAAAAAGAAGTAATTCAAGATAATCAAGAAGTTACTAACCATGGTACTAAAACAGAAAAAGAAAAGCCTGTGCAAGTTGAAAATTTGAGACTTGTTGATTCCTTGTATATGGAAACTACAATTGATAACTTCAAGATCGAGTCGCATTCCAAAGATGAACAGGTTGAAGATCATAAGTGTCCAACGGGAGATGAAGAAATTAAATTTTGCAATCACAAATGAGTCAAAGGTGAATATTGTCAAATTAAGAATACAAATTCTGTTGACATTTTCTATCGCTTTAGCGTCAAAGAATAGCATAAAAATAAGGAAAACATGGACGATGAGAATTTGAGCCCGCATATCAATTCTTTTGTGTTGAACAAAGTATCACTAAATATTACAACAAAATGTGACAAGTACGAAGAATTGAAAATAGCACGAGTGACCTCTATCGAGAGCGAACTCAATGATGAGAAGTCAAATCATGCTTCGTTTATGAATGAATGTTATTTGCAAATTATCCGTGAAGAAAATATAACAAGCGTGATAGGAACAAAGTTGACTTTGAAGAATGCAACTAAAGAATATAATGACGTTTATCGAGCACATCAAGAAATTGTCATTTTTCAATGTCGGTATTTGCAGAATTTTTTGAGTATTTTCCTCCCGATTGATTGATTTTTTCTTCAAAAAAACTCGAGAACGGGTTTTATTCAAGTGGAGGGGGTTGATGTAGTACATCGAACTACAATTAATAGTTTCACTTTATCTAAGAGTTTGTCTTTTTAAAATTATCTTTTCTAATTTCCTTTTCTAGTTATAATAGATTTATTCTTAAATCTTATTTAGATTAGGATTAGTTATTTCATTTTAAAATTTAGTTTCCTTATTTTAGTTTCTTTTTATTTATAAGATTAGAGATAATTTTGCCTATAAATATAGGAGTATCGTACACTTTTCAAGACAATCAATCATATATTAATATAAAGCAGGATTATTCAAATATAATTCTGATTTTCAATTCTTATTATAAGAATTTCATAACACTTTCGCACCACTTTTCAACCCTTTTTGGCAAATTTTGTAAGCTAGTGTGTTTGATTGTATTCATTTTTCATGAAAAATGTTATTTTTTCACTCAAATTTCTATTTTGAAGAGTTTTATTATAATTGTTTTCATTGAAAATATTTTCCAACTTTTGAAAATATGCCTAATTTTTTTTATTTTTTTTGGAAAATGTTTTATTTGGAGAGTAGGTTTTTATTTTTCTCAAAATGAGGAAAATTTTCTCTTTTTAAAGAAACGTTGTTTCATTTAAATTAAACACACTCTTGTAGATTCTTCACAATCTGTACTTGGTTAAATGCCAAAGTCAAATTCACAGTTATTGCTTTAAAAATCGATCTGATCATCGGTCCGAAAAAGATAAGCGATCAAGGGTTAAAAGGTTGAACCGGAATCGAACCGGTGATTTTTAAAAATTTTAAAAAATAAACATTTAAATTTTTTTTAAAATATATACATTTACATAGGTTGACTTGATTAAACCGGGAACGGGTCACGGGTTTTCCAAAAACTGGCCAGTTTAATGAGTTTTGGGATGAGTTTTTAATTAGAGATTTTATAAGCTTAATCGGGCCAATTTTAGTCCCGGTACCCAATTTTTCTGATTGAATTGGCCGGGTTTTAAAACACTGCTTATTATTCGTTCATGGGGACTGTTCCTCATACCTATTAATTTGACAAGTATTTTTGACAAATAATTGTGACATTTAATTTAAATCAATTCAACGCTCAAAATACTATATAATTCATAAACTTACTTCCTAACGTCTCTAGTTACCTTATATTAATCCCAAAAATCTCTTAACAATATCGTGACTTTCTATCATCTTATTTCATTCTCAATCACCCCTCAAATTCATCATCTCACTCACAAAATTGTATCTCCAAACCATCACTGCCTGGAAAAGAATTCCCTTGCCAATGTGTAAATTTTAGGAGTCCTATTGTCAAGTCAAATTATTTATTTAGGAGAAAGCAGAATAAGAACCGAATTGATTTTTTTTTAAGGTATAATTATGTACGTATACAACTGTTTTTCAGCAAAAATCTCACATGTGTTTTTGATTTTGCTATTTCGATCCTTCTGTATGGTTTTAAAACTGCATTTATATCATGTTCGTCTAATATTCAAATTATGAGTGATTTTTTATTTTCCAAAACTGAATTTCAATTATAAAACCCTCCAATTTCTAATTCTCATTAAGTTAATCATGTTTCATTGATGGTTACAATCGTCCCTTTTTATTCCAACATTTTGAAATTTTTGACTTGAGAGGTATTATAAATTAATTATTTGAATTATTGATTCCTTAATCATGAACTAACTGTTAATTTGACTAAAATGCATAATTTGGATTGCTTGCTTCAGTGGTGGAAGATAATTGTTGGCTCATATTTATTAATTATTTGTTTGAGAGAGAAGTGATCTAAGACAACATTTTGAAGGCATCAAGGGAAATCAAGTGAAACCGGAAAGAATTACTTTGGCCAGATCCATTGAATTCAAGCGAAATTGAATCTCCATCATCCATGGGTATATGTCCTCACCTTAAGTATCAGTTATGTGAAGAATTCAGTGGATTCAAGGCACTGCCATCCTCTACTAATGCAAAACTTCGAGCTATTTGTGAAAAATTTTGTAGGAACGGGGAAAAAATTCAGCAAATGCTCGTTTAGTTTCTGATTCGAAGACTAGAAATTTGAGACGAGCAGGGGATTATATGACTAAAAGTGTTGTTAAGAATGATGTGTTAAATGGAGGATTTGGGTATGACAGTATCCCGGTCAAGGCCTCCTTATCACATGTTTTTCCATATGGTATTTATTTTCTTCATTTTGGTGTAAAATTCGAGTTCAACTCGGTGTCAATGGAGGCAATAGCAGAGACTACTATCAGAGGCCGCTGTAGATGTGTAAAAGGGCAATAGCAGGTGTCCATTACAGAATGCAAATACAATGGATTAATAATGGAAATACATGAAAGACAGTCTAGTCTCAATTAATCAACCAAAACGGTCTTGAAAATAAAGCTTGGGGGCTCTCCAAACCATCCCAAATAAGAAAGTGCGATACAAAATGTCTAGCTAAAATACTCACATTTGTTTCACATTGAATGAAAGTGGATACTACTTAATAGAAAAAAACTGCAGTAAATCAGAAATACTAAAAAGAATAGATGGATCTTTAACTAGTATCACGACATTGATACATTCGGACTCAAGGTAAGAGATGTTGACGGAATGCGTCTTAGCAAAGTGCAGCTCTCTTGTATTGCCAAGCACCAAGTCTGTTTTGATTAATCTCGTGTCAACAACATTCACCAGCATGCATGCGTCCGTACATACACCAGCATTCACAAGAATATGAGTGAAGATAATCTCTTGTCATCAACATTCATTTGCACATTGCTTGAGTGAGATTTCTGCTGAAAAATAATTGTATGCGTACAGAATCATACCTAAAAAAATCAATTCAATTA